CATGGTCTTTCTGCCCAGCCCCAGAGTGGACTGAAACTTTGGGGAAAAAAATTTCAGATTGGGTGTTACTGCACACCTCCATGCTCAGACTGGAGGCATCATGACCCAATCTTAAACACCCCATCCCTGAACAGTCCTAATCTCATCCTTCTCAAAGCCAGAATTAGGACGGATTGGAGATGGGATGGCTAAGATTGGGTAGCGATGCCTCCTGTCTGAGCATGGAGGTGTGTGATAATACCTCATTTGAAATGTTTTCCCCAAAGTTTCAGTCCGCTGTGGGGCTGGGTGGAAAGCCTGTGCAATAATGTCCACAATTTCATCAAAAACCTACTATAGTGACCAGACTTTTACAATTGCACTAAAACTCTCTGGTGAAGCCACTGGGATTGTATATTGCTAGTTCTAAGCAGATAGATCTCAAGAGATCAGAAGAAAGGTGCAGCAAACAACCTTTTACAAGATCCTTTTAATTTAATTAGTCTCATCACTGAGACTTAGGGCTGGAACCAGCTTCCTGGTGGCTTGGGGGCGCAGTGTTTTAATGCCACATGTCCCAAGATGCCCAGAAGCCGCTCAGCCAACTGCATGAGGGCAGCTTCAATATGCTCTGGGGGCACAGCATTTTGATGCTGCACATTGCTGAAGTGCCTGGAAGTTGCACCAGGGCTGGCTAGGGAGGCCCAAACCCATCCCAAATAGGAACCGATCTTTTCTGCTCCTATTTGGACTGGCGCCACATGGCATCTTCAGGACCATGACATGTGTTTGCCACGATCCTGAGGCCACTTCAGTGGGGACAGCTTCAAGCCACCTCTTCCTTCTGGTCTATTCCAGCCCTTTGTGATAGTTTTAAGAAGTAGCCATGTTAGTCTCTTGCAGTATAAAAAGGAGGAAGGAAGGGACAGGAAAAAAGGAAAAGATCTGTGGCAGCAGCTTTAAGACTAACTGTTTTTCATTTTTGCATGAGCTTTTATGGGTATAAATTCACTTCTTGGATGCTGTTCACTCTGAATTTTCCTTGTACCAATCTTGTTATTTTTCTCCATGCTTTGCTGCCCCACAGCCTATCTAGACATATCCAGAAACATGCCACTACTGATAAGAGAGTGGGGGAAAGTGAGAGAACAAGGAGAAGAATCCTGTATTTCATTGAATCATTCTGAGGGACAGAGGTAATGCAGGTCATTTATTATTTCTACCCAAATACTCCCCTTGTGGGTATCATCTTTGCTCTCTAAGTATTCATTTGGTCCACGCAAGCCTTACTTCATATTTTTGTCACTAGTGATAATTAAATCAACTGGTCACTATTAGTTAGTAGCAAACTTCAAGGTTCTTGAGAATCACCTCTGTACAGCTTTTTAAACACAGTGACATGGAAAAAGTGACATTTGAAGTAATGGTGTTTTCCAGTATGGATATGTGTTTGCCCACAAGAACAAAATTTCCTAAAGAGGTTTGGAGTTTATGATCCCAGTTCTAGTACTACAGACTCTGCTCTCCTTTCTTCAAATAATTTGCCAAGCTTTAAATAAAACATTCAAAATTCTTATACATACTGTCTTTACAGTTTTCTCCAGAGTAGCCAAAACTACACCTAAAAGCAAGCAAACAAAAAGTTACACAAAAGAACCAACTGAAGTAAACAAAAAGTTACAGAAACAAACTGATATTGGCCCAGGTTATACAGAGGTTTTCCCCTATGCAGTGATGTTTTATTAACTATCAAGTGGGAAAGAAACCATTGGGACTAAAAAATAATAATAAATCCTGTCTTCCTATAGCTTAGATGGATAAGAAAATAAGAAAAACAGAATTTCCTCCTCTACGCATTCTGTCTACATGTTTCTGTCTATCACAACCTCATCTGACTACTCCATAATCCCCTTCTTCCTTCTCCATATTAAAGCACCAAATCCCTCAAAGTATAGATTAGAGGAGATCATCAATTATGCCACCCTCCAAAGTAGTTTCCTGCAGGAAAGAAAAAAGAAGAAATACAACATGTACCCTCCCACTTGTTTAATACTGGGTGAACAACTACGGTAAATACCTACTTCTGACAATAGCCATTCTGGTTTTGATAACCAACCATACATTGGCACACTGGGACTTGTTTGGCATTCACTGAGCAATGTTTGTTTTCCTCTGGAGAACACACTGTAGCATTACAAACTGCATTCAAAACAGAAGACAGAGATTTAGTAATCTACGGCATTTTTCTGAAGGTCAAAAACTTTGCATTATACCTAGGTATGTGCAGTGGTAGCCCATTTGTTCTCTGAATATCCTTTTTTAGACTTCTGAAAAGTTGCCTCCACAATCTTATCAGAGATTGTTTTCTGAAGAGAAAACATGGTGGAGAACAGAGAACAATTTCTGATAAGATTGATCTCATCACTCAGCAGCCTTTGTTATATAATTTATTTCTATCTCTCCTTTCTCCCAATGTGAGACCCAAGACAGCTCACAGCACAAATTGTTTATAAAAGATTTTTTTTTAATGGCAGGAATGCACTAAGGCAGTTATTAATGTGTAACATTGGTGACTGGTTCCTGTTCACAATCCCTACACATTTCCTAGTTTAGGCTACATAGGCTATGTAGGAACTACTGTGAAAGTCCCACAATCAACACTTATCAGGCTGTATCCTTTGGGTTTGACAGGCGTCTCTTCCCCTGTTGTTTGGGAATCAGCTGACTGTTGTTTCACACACTCTCACTCACTCATACACTCACTCTCTCTCTCTCACACACACACACACACAACTTCCAATGTGAGGGGGAATTGCAACAGGTTGTGATTCTGCCTATTACACCATAGATCACTCACAAGAGAGGATGGGGATATCAGTCAGCAGCTTTCTGACTAACATCAGAATAGATCCCAATGGAGTGCAGCAGCTACTGTCCAGTAAGTGGGGAAGGGCATACTGGGAGATACTACTTACCTACATAACTAAGGTGGTTATGTAGCTAAGTAGGTGATACAGAATTCTGGCCACTGATTGTAATAAAAAAGTTAAAAAGCAATTAACTACATGATTGTACTAAAAACATCACAAATTTGAGACAGTTTAAAGAAAAGATGACTATGAGAACAGAGATACAATGCAATCCTTCCCCATTAAAAGACCTTTCTACAACACCAGTTAATCACCAAATTTCTGTCTAAATAAAAAGGATTTTGCCTGCTGGCCAAAGGAGGCCAGCATCCCAGGGAGAGAGAGCATGGGAAGAGCCACTGAGAAGGCCTTCTTCCATATCCTCAGCAGGTGTGCCTGTGATAGTGGTGCGAGTGAGAGATAGCCCACACCAAGGGTTTTAAAATTTGGGCTGATTTTCCGATAGTCCGAATAGTTTTGGAATTCATATTCTGTCACATTCCTCCTCCCTGCTGAAGAAGGCCCATTGCACATGCACATGTTATCTGCCATATTTCCTTCCCAGAGAAAACTGGCTTAGCCAAACCTACAGATTGCACTTTGCATTCATGCCTAAACAAAATAAGCCCTGGCAACAAGAGTAGAAAAGGTTATACGAGCTGTTACTGCTTTGTTCACTCTCTGAAGGTTCAAGATTTTGAATGGGGTGTTAATTAATGCCTGCTTAAGAGATTGGTAGAATTTAATATTCAAGCAAGATGAAAAAAGTTCAAATTTATATTGGACAGTTGTGACTAAAAGGAACAAGATGAGAAAGAAAAGTCATATTTTAAAGACGGTCTTCCTAAAACCCTTACGTAAACAAGTTCTATCCTCAGGATTCTTCTTAGCAAGACCTGGTTTACAGGAACAGGTTGGAAAAGTGTCGTGAGATGTTTCACTGCAGTCAGTAGTGTCTTTATCACAGCCATAAACATCACATTGTAATAAAACTGAAAAATAATAATAACAATATAAATTAGCAGAAGAGAGAACATTATCTGCAATACACAAATTTAGTTGGAGGGACAGCAGGACACATCTGCAAATTCTTTCAAAGACAATACAAAAACAACAGGCATATACACCTTCTATTTAGCATTGGCTTTATTATTATAGATTCAGTCTTAAATATCAGCATATCATGAAAATGAATGGCTAACAAAAAGAAGCATGGCCTCAAAGTAATTACAAAAACATTAAAATATGTGAGTTCGACTCCACAGTGGAGCCTTAAATATTCCACCCAGGTGGAAGAAAGTAACCATATGTTGACTCTACATCAGACTCCAGTGTTGATTATTCACAATAATTTAATTTAACTTTTTAAATTTGATTTGATCTATACCTCATGTCAATGTCTCATAAGCTCTGTCTGAGTTCCATACATTAGACTCCAGTGGCCAACTCTCTCAGGGAGAAAGGCAGGGCTGGGCAACACAGTGGGTTTGTAACACTCAAAAACAGTATAATGAATTAATCCCATTCAACAGTAGGAGTTTGATTTTGGATAGGCCAGAAAGAATGTGCTCCAGAAAAATCACATTTCTCAATACAATTGCTATTTATTTTTAACATAATTCATGAGAGAACTGAGTCCAGCTGAATGTTGCTAAATAGAACTTTCTTTGATTAGACACAGGCAGTGTGTGTGTCATATGTAATTAAATTAATAGCTGCTGGAGATAATAGGGCCCAGGTTTGTTTTTTTTTAGTTATTTTATTTTATTTTTTATCCCACCTTTCTCCCAAAGTGGGACCCAAGGTGACTTTCTTGGAAGATTCCAAGTATACTGATACAAGAAGGAGATATAAGAGAAGCTCATCAGGGTTGAGGATTCTGGCTTGGTTCTTCTTGCACAGATACCTCTTTGTAGATTTTAGTAGCCAAAATACGACCCTAAGGTTGCGAGTTGCTGCTGTGTGCTTTCAAGACATTTCCCATTTATGGTGACCCAAAAATGAACCTATCATGGGGTTTTCTTGGCACAATTTATTCAGATGAGGTTTGCCATTGCATTCTTCTGAGGCTGAGAGCATGTGCCTTGCCCAAGGTCACCCAGTGTGCTTCCATGGCTCAGCAGGGATTTGAACCCTGGTCTCCAGAGTCCTAGTCCAATGCTCAAACCACTACAACACAGTCTCTTGCACATTGGCCCCCAGAATGTTTCTGCAGGCCTCAACCCTCCAGATCCCCCAATCAACCATTTTTCTGGTTACACAAATAAAAGAGAGCTTCAGGAGCAGCAATTCACCTTTTAAATAACTTCAATACTAATTCAGTACTTAATTCAATTCTAATTAAATACTTAATTCAATACTAATTCAATGCTTACCTTTAAAGGACTTGCAAATGATGATACCACCACAAGCTTTGCTTCCTATGAGTTCTTCCACTTTATCACTTGTTACATTTGTGCTTGTTTCAAACATATTGATTATTGTTACAATAACAATTCCTTCAGCTTTACTGAGCTTTTTCAGTGTTGCTGATGTTGGTCTGAAAGCCATATACATATATATTAAGAAAAATACCATTAAAAACATTTAAGAACGGCTTGGACTTTGAATGGTTGTTTGTTTTGTTGTTGCTGTTGTTGTTTTAAAGCACCTTGTCACTGAAGGCCAAAGCAGCAACTCAAGAGCAGACATCAGTCTACAAATCCCAATTTCCCAAAATTCTAAAAATCAGAATGAGAAGAAGCTCAGTGTAGACTGGAAGTAGGTGAACATAGTATTTAAGCCCCCACCCAACATGTTATCTGGAGATGTAATTTTTTTTTTCAGGTCTACATGAAGAAATGATCAGCAACTTCCATAATGCATCACCACTGACCATGCTGGCTGCTAAGAGTGATGGGTGTTGTAGGCCAAAACCATCTGGATGGTCACATGCTGCTATTGCAAACAAATATTTAGAAAGAGAAACTCTAAGGATTGGAATAGGGGACTCCCCCAGACAGCACAGTAAAAACTGCATATACTATACTCAGTGACTTTTGGAAGGCTAGTTGGTTGTTGGAAGGTTAAAAATGGCAAACTGAAGTGGAGGTGGGCATATGGAAAAGAATTTCCTGGGAGAGAACATTATTTTCAGAAAAGCTGAAACTAAAGAGAAGGGTCAGTTTACCAAACATCCAAACCACTACAATATGCTGGCGCTTGCCTTACTTCTGTAGCTTATCAGACCTGTCACACTTACTTTATGTCAATAAGGAGTGTTTCTTTAAAGGCTTCTACATCTTTAAATGTTTCACTGAACTGTAAAGAAATAAAAATAAGAGTCAGTAAGATGGCAGGTGAGGTATCCAAGATTAAACAGATATTATCATGATGTTTAGTCATCAGATTTATCATTTTTTCTTGTTTGTTTGATGTTATACAGGATATATCAGATGTTAGTTTTGTTACTTCACACAGCTTTTAAAATGACAATTGCTCCAACTTGTATCTGCTGTTTTCACAAAGCATGGTTAGAGCATCCCTTTTCACTGGTGGGGGAAACCCATCAATGAGCTCACAATCATGCAAGTCCCCAGGTGTGAAATGTCATTGCTGGGGCAATTGTGATATTGTCAGTCACGTGGTGTGTCTCCTTCCCTCCCCTTGTTCCCCTCCCCCTTGCTATTCCCAAGTAGGCAGATTGCATTTTTTTCCTATCTCTTTTTTTTTGGGGGGGGGTTAAACTTCAATTGCAGTAGCAGAGGTATGGAATTGTGTAAAATCTTTTTTTAAAACAATAACCAAAAGGCATGCTGGCTGGGGCATAGGGCATGGAGAAAGGGTTAAGGGAGAGTCAGGAAGAGAGCATGATAGCAGCAGCAACAGCCCCAGTCATGTGATTGTGAATACATTTAATTAATGGCTGCTCTGAAACTCTATGCTTCCTTTAAAAAAAAACAATTTGATGCAAATGCTGTGAGAATGAGGCTTATGTGGTAATATCCTTGGACAGAAACCACCATACTATTGTGATATGAACACAGTAACACTGGCGCCATCATGGTATGGCAGACAAACGTTGGCTGGAATCCTGCAAATTTATGCATTTATGTATGTAGAAATACCGTAGTTACATTGTTATGCACTGAATTCCTGCATGACCCTACAATTTTCATTTATTGGGAAGCAGCTGCTGTGAGCAACAGGGCTCTGTTCCCCTGTCAATTGGGAAGCAGCTGACTGATGCTCCCACCCCTCTTGTGTGCAATCTCATTGTGACAGGCAGAAACAGGGTCCCTGTCTCCCTTGTGCTGGAGATCACTCGCATTAGGGATGGTGGGAACACCAGTCAGCTGCTGTCCAAGCAACAGGGAAACTGACTTCCATCAATCACAATTACTGCTGCCCAGTAAGTGCAGACTGGGGGTTTTCCATGATCGCTGAACAGCCTCTAAACCAGAGTCTAGGTTAATTACAAATAAATTGACTTCAAAATATTATAATTTAATTAGAAATTGGGAACAACAAGAGAATATAATCAAAAATTACATGATTAGGTGGGCTCAAGATATAAACCAAAATATTAACTTGGAGGATTGGGAAAAAATCTGGAAGAAGGTAATAAAGTATACAGTAAACATGGACATGAGGGAGAACCTATATAAGTCAATGTTTAGGTGGTACCTGACTCCATCTAAATTATCAAAAATGTACAAGGGTTTCAATCCATCTTGTTGGAAATGTGGAGAGGAACAAGGCACCTATTTCCACATGTGGTGGAAGTGTTGCAAAGCAAAGGGATTTTGGAAAAAAATTAATGAAGAATCTCAAAAAATTTTGGAATTACAGATAACAATTGACCCAAAGTTGTATCTTTTAAATATCTCTAATATAAAGACAGAGGGAAGTAAGCGAAAGCTGTTATTTTTTTTAATTACTGCTGCGAGAACCCTCTTTGCAAAATTTTGGAAAAAGAAAGAAACTCCCACAGTGGAGGACTGGATATTAAAACTTTATGAAGTATATGAAATTTATTTAGGAATTGTTCCATGGTAGAATTTCATAAGACCTGGGCTCCATGGTTCCAGTATTTGAAAACGAAGGACAATAATAAGGAACTAAGTCATGTAGCGTTTTTGGAGTAATATATTTTTTATAACATTTAGATCACAGTTATCTAAGGTTAAGGTAAGGTGATATGAAGAATACAAATGTCTAAACTTACAAATTATTTTGATAAAACTTTTATATAAAAGTAAGTAGAAGTATTGTTTAAAAACTAACATTATAAATCTTTTTTTTCCTTTTTTTTCTCTTAGTTGGTTGATAATGTGTTTAATGTCGGGGTTGAGTGGAAGTTAAGGTTTGATCTACTTCAGTTAAATAATTTTTATAAAATCAGTGATGT